CCAGCTTCTCGACCAATCAGGAAGCCGGGCGAGTCATTACACGGCGTCCGGCTTCCTGATCGGCCGGGAAGCCGGCTCCATCCACCCTCGTCACCAGGTGACGAGAGAGTATGAAGCCGGCTTTCTGACCAATCAGGAAGCCAGGGGGCGTGTAATGACTCGCCGTCCAGCTTCCTTATTGCCCAGCTTCCTGACCAATCAGAAAGCTAGGCGGCAAGTCATTACATGCTGCCCAGCTTCCTGATTGGCTGGGAAGCCGGCTCCATGCTCCCTCGTCAACTTAGTGACGAGGGAGCATGGAGCCGGCTTCCCGGCCAATCAGGAAGCTGGGCAGCATGTAATGACTCGCTGCCCGGCTTCCTAAAACCTGAAGTTCAGGTATCAGGCTAGGCATCTGAGCATTTGGGCGAGTACATTGCGGTATACTGAGCCTAGGGTGATGGGAGGACGCTAGTTTGTGTCCTCCGGTTACCCTAAGGAGGACTATGGGTAAAAGCCTTAACCCCATAGTTCTCCTTTAAACAGAAGCAGTCCAGAAAAGAAAAAACAGTTCTGTGCTTTTAGTCAATAAAAAACTATTTGTCATGTTAATTTGTAAAAAGAAACCATAATTAAATACAAGTAATGAAAAAGGTTATTCAACCTTAAATACTATGTATCTGTGAAAACATGTTATAAAATAAGTCAAAATAATTATTAAAAACCATTACATCTTGGTACTACATTACTGCAACATCAGCAACATTACCAACAGGGTTTACTGTATTTCTAATGATGATGGGAATTGCATATGAAAATTCTGTTCAACCAATTGAAGAATGGACTGTTAAACCACCTTCCTTTCCAGGGCCTTTTTTCAGTAATTACCACTGAGGTACTTTGACTGACAATTATTTTGTCGTGCAAGGCTGTACCGAAACACATTTCTTAACATTTTTTGGGGACAGATAGAGCTTTATTTTGATGGTAATGAATCACCACTGGGGTTTTTTTTTTTTTACTATATAAAGAAAAAAGTACTTAAAATTTTGCAAAAAAATGTTTCCCTACATTATGTTATGAAACATTTATTATTACCCATTTTTTTTGTTTAAAAAAGACGGGGTTACGTCGGATAAAAGGATACCAAACATGTCAAGCCTTAAAATTGCGCGAGCCCATGGAATCACAAAGAACTACCTTACCCAAAATTGACCATAGGCTACACTTTAAAGCTTTTACCGCTCTTCAGTTTAGTGTTGGCCCTACAATTATTGTTCCCGCTCTGAAGTTCATGGTGATATGTAGCATGTGTAGCGCAATCTACATTTTCACACGTAGGCGCACCCGACACGAGTTTGCATTTGTATGTGCATATATGGGGGGGCGGGGGACTTTAAAATTTCTTTTGTGTTTTTTTTAGACCCCAAGGGGGTGATTTACTAACCTAAACACACGCACGCACCAGGTGCGTGTGATTTTTACACAGCAAAGCGTATTTATCAACCAAAAAGTCTCTATAAGCATGTTTCCACTAATGCCATATATGGAAAAATCATGCACATGATGCATATATAATGCTGCTTCACAGTTTAGACAAAAATGGTTAGCTCATGTATTTACATTCCTGCATTCATCAACTCAAGCAACACAATGTAGAGCTAATTTACACAACATCACCTTGCAATTCATGCAGGGCTTTGCACAACACACCTGCTGGGTGTGTACACACTACAAAGGTGTTTAGATTCCACCCATAGATCATGCTGGGAGGGAACACACTACACAGGTGTATACATGTGCGTGGTGTGTTTATAAGGTTAGTAAATCAACCCCCAAATGTCACTTATGGATCCCAAAGATGCTGATGAATCAGAGATCGTGCTTCACCAGTTTCTTTTCCGGCTACAGCAGCTGGAAAAACAAAATTCTGAAACAGGAAGCGATGTAATACACATCGCTTCCCGGGTTCAGTGATCGGAGGGGAGATCAGCCGCTGGAAGTGTATCATCAGAAACAAAAATACCTGCATTCACAGGAATTATCCAAAAACAGCCTGCTTGGATAAACTGTCATGTGTATTGTTCCAATGCTTTCTGCTCACCATTGACCATGTACTCCCTTGTTTTTATTAAAAGATAATAATTACGTAATTATGCAGAAAATTATCTGGGCAGCACAGTGGCTTAGTGGTTAGCACTTCTGCCTTGTAGCAATGGGGTCCCTGGTTTGAATCCTGGTCAGGACACTATCTACGTGGAGTATGCAAGTTCTCCCTGTGCTTGCGTAGGTTTTCTTCCACACTCCAAAAGACATACTAGAAGGTTAAATGGCTCCTGTCTAAATTTGCCCTAGTATGTATGCATGTGAGAAAGGGACCTTAGATTGTAAGCTCCTTGAAGGCAGGGACTGATGTGAATGTGCAGTATGTAAAGTGCTGTGTGAATTGCTGGCAATATATAAATATATTTAGGATTTTGTATTATTTATACATTTGTTTCAGGCTAGGAAATCCCATACCGCTGAATACTGTCCTCAAGCTCCCGGGTCTTCAGTTCATCTTCTTGCATCTGTCTCCTTATGGCCTCATCTTCTTCAGGGGTAGAAGCTGGAGCTCCATCAAGAAGCCAGCGCTCTCGAAGAGCCTTAGACTACATACAGACAATGAGTAGTGAATTAGGTGAAATGAATACATAGTCACACAGTCAAGTTAAAATCCTTCCTGACTGCAATCAGCTAACTCCCGAGATCAAATCTACGGTGATATTTCTTATAAATAATTATAGTTATAGTTGGTTAGAACCAGTTCCTATGAAAGGAAAATGTATGTCAGGGTAAAGTAAAAACAATTGCAGCACATCTCTGCATTGCATGCTCATTTCCCCACATTTTATTTCTCTTAAGACCCTGCAAGTACAAAAAAAAAGATATGTTAATCTGCCAGAAATGCAACTGCTAATTTCCTGCTGTGGATTGACAATAGAGTGCATTTTCTGGACTGGTGTCAGTCCAGTTTCTGATAAACTAGAGAATCCCTTTCCCTCTCATGTTCACAAAAAGACTTCTTGAAATAACACAGGAAGTATGCACAGGACACAGAACAGTTCTAAATTGCGAACTTGATCAACAGGTATTTGAACAGATATAACAAAACACTTTTACTAGTATATTTAACAGACCAAAAGGGAATACAATTCTGAACACATCTTAATTTACCTTTATGTACAGCTCGCGGTATACTGAGACGCCGCAGCCAGAGCGGATCACGACGTAGATGACGGAAGGAACCAAGATCACACTACTAACTTGAGACCAAAATCTGGTCACCCCTTTACTCCCTGTCAGGGTCTGTCCGGCAGAAACCGACAGGGATGAAGGAAACCTATGTGGGGGTTGGGTCTCATTGTCACAGGTCGGCTAGAACTATGAGGTGAGTGGAAATCACTCATCTCATAGTTCTCCTTTAACTCTGGGATACTAGTAAATTTTTACCATAACGCCCACGTCATATGTACATTACAAAGATGCTCACTATCTATAATAAATCTTCCCAGTTTATGAAAAGCACCTTTCAGATCTTTGTAAGACCATAGCTTCAAAAAGTGCAACTTCGGCCAGACAGCCGGAGGAGGAATTTAGCAAGTGGTTAGGTCAAATCTGCTCACTGTGTAGCTCAGCTTGGGGAAACTACAATTCCCATTATAGTATGGGAATTGTAATTGTAAATGGGCTGGTTTGGGGATGGGTATGTGGCTTGCTGCAAGGGAGTGGAGAGGGGAGACAGATTCAGACAGGGGAGTCTCCTGGCCTGTGAGTCAAAGTATGTGTCAATCATGGGGTGGGTCAGACTGTGAGTCTGAGACTCCCTAGTTCCTCACTACAGATGGTGGCAATGTGATAACATTACTGAAGATTAAAACAACTGAGAGGATTTTACTAGGAAAGTGGCTGAGGAAATATCTGGCGGAAAACTGTCCAATGGTTTTACTAAACAGAAATTAAAGGGACAGAGCCCTTCTACTGACTTCAAATAGCGATTTCTCAATGGTCAAAGATCAACAAATTGCTGAAAGGTAAGAAAAGATATTTGTACTAACAAGATTACATTTCTGCCTGGAGTGTGGGAAGAAATGATTAAGCAATACCCAGTTAAGGCTGAGCTGCCATTACTTGGCTTTTAACACAGTAAAATGGGCAATGTGCTGAAGATAGCTCTAACAGAAACAGACATGGAACAATCCTTTTACTGACCACAAGCTATTGGGTTCCCCCCACTATGATATCATTTTGATCCTAGAATTCAATGACTTTCTACATCCCAGTAAATTTCTTACTGTTAATTACTGCCTAGAACAAGCCTAGCAGCATATCAGTCCTATAAAGTATGGATTGGACTGTAAATACTAAAACAAAAAATGGTTTTCATAACTAACACATTGGCTCTGGTATTAATTGTAATCCATATTATTCTACTTGGAGTATGTCTTTCTTTTCCCACACAACCTCTAAAAAGGGGCTATCCAGGGTAATTAAGCACTAGAAATCAACCCCCTAACATCTTACCTAAATATGAGAAATAATACTTAACTTTATCCTTATTATTACTACTTTTCCTTTACTTTTACTTTCCTCCTCAGAAGACGTGTATCCAAACCTCTGTTATTATCCTTAGTGGTGAGACAAGTTGTTTTACATGCTGGTTTGTGAGTGTACCATGATGCCTTTCTACTGTTTTTCTGTTCAAAGCCCATTTCGTGTGCACCTTACTGTATAACTGGTGACAAATTGTTGAGTGCGTTTGTCGTTTGTTTTGCATGACCGATTTGGTGCAGCGACGTATGGGGTTTCTCAGCTGCCATTGGGATGTGTGGGATCCCTTGTGTGTTTCTGTGCTTTTAAGGAGGCCGGGCTTCCTCCTGACAAACCTGCACCCAATTTGAAATCTTCTGCCCCCATGTGCTCCAAGATGGAGACTCTCATAGTTTAGAGTTAGGACCGCACTATAAGAGGTGCCTTGGCGCGGCAGTGCGGCTTTCACATCCTCTGCAGAAGACGTGTATCCAAACCTCTGTTATTATCCTTAGTGGTGAGACAAGTTGTTTTACATGCTGGTTTGTGAGTGTGCCATGATGCCTTTCTACTGTTATACTGTTCAAAGCCCATTTCGTGTGCACCTTACTGTATAACTGGTGACAAATTGTTGAGTGCGTTTGTCATTTGTTTTGCCCAAAGTAACAGGTACACACCTCATAGACTCTGCTCCTTTCCAACAGTTGCCAGGCCTGGACGCTGGTGTAGAGGGCTTTGGACTTTTCTACAATCTAAACAGCTTGGATCTTACATAAGCTATGAGGAGCAAAGGGAAGGTTTTCATAAGTGGGTGGCGGGGGATTAATAAAAAAGTCTGGCATAAATGGTGGCAATTTTTTACGGCACAGAAATCATACCATACATAATGGTTGTATGTGTCCCTAAAATCATACCATACATAATAGCTTTATACTGTAGATTATAACTATAATATTAATCATTACCAGAATAACAGATTACCTTAAGATGCTGGAGTTGTCTTCGGTCATCTTCTAATTGACGTCTCTTGTTTTCAATTTCAACTTGACGTCTTCTTTTCTCCTGAGATAAATGTGTATATAGGACAACAGTCTATAAGTATTGATACATATTACAAAGGTGAAGGCAAACGGGTGTTTTTTAAAAATAGAATTCAAATTAATTACTGTTTTATATGCATGCACTCAATGTATAATCAGCATGTATTTCAATGTGATAATATCTGGGATGGATGGAGTGCCCCGAGCGCTAGTTTTCTAGTGTTCTCATTCCATAAATGATTCATTTTTTAAAACACTATATTGCAATTATGATTGTCGGCAGACCAAAGTGAGAATTCAAGCATCAATCCCCTCCTGCTTTTAAATTTTTATTAATAATGTGTCATAGCTACTGGAGTAGTTCAGTGTTCATAAATATTACTTGATTGCAGAAATAGAAAAAAGAAAAGCTCAAGGAATTACCAGTGTGCTTTACAGTGATGGGAGGGGGTGGGGTGGTTAGTGGGAGGACAGTTTTATTGTTTCAACCATGTGTTTATTTAGGAGCATTCTGTTTTACTTACTCATGACTCAGATTGCTGTGCACCAGATTTCCATAAGATAGACAAAAAGGTCCACAAAAAAGCAAACGCATTACAAATGGGCCACAAAAAATCCTTACTCACAGAGGTTATTATGTTTTATGCATATAGAATAGTAATGCGGAGGTCATTATCTAACATCACAATCAGCAGTAACAATACAAAGGATTTGTTAAGTGCTATACTCTATGTAAATATATACACTCATGTGGAAAAGTAAGTACACCCCCCATGGGAATTGCTGACCTTTTTCAACATATTTGAACAGACAAAACATTAGATCCAAATTCAAATAGTGCCTACAGATAAAAGTGATATACTTGAACAAATGGCACATACATTTACATGGTGTCATTATTCTCATAATCTAAATTAACAAAAATGCAGATTTGTCATATGTAAAAGGTACATTCTTACATTTACCATCACTTCATCTCTAGGTGTTCCAGATTAGGTTCCAATGATTAGAACCACCTGGGGGAGTATGCAGGTGGGACCTGTCTTATTTAAACTTCAGATATCTAGGGTCTGGTGTTCTCCTTGCTACTGGCATGTGTAGTGTCATGCCAAGGTCAATGGAGTTATCTGAGCTCTCAGAAATAAAGTTGTGGATGCCTATGAGTCTGGCAAGTGATTTAAAACAGTCACTAAATTATATGAAATGAATCATTCCACTGCAAGCAAAATAATTTCAAATGACTGCTAATTTGTCCAGGACTGGCCAACCAGATTCAGCCAAAGAGCTGGCTGTTTGATGCTAAAAGAAGTCCTCAAGAACCACAAACTTTAAGTTTTCACATAGCTCTTTCAACAATTCGGGTTAACATGTAAGCATTTACAATCAGAAAGAGATTGCACCAATTTAGCCTGCATGAGAGATGTGTTAATAAAAATACATTGCTGTTCAAAAAGAACTTTAGAGCAAGACTACAGTTTGCCATTGAACATATAGGCAACCAGGCCTTCAGGAACAATGTGCAGAAGACTGGTCATAGTAACAGTAGACATGTTTGCTGACATGTTAAACCAAATAAAGGATTTCAAGAGAAGAAACTTAAAACAAATGGGACGCATGTGATGGAAATGTTATGGTTTGGGGTTGCTTTGCTGCTTCAGGGACTGGGAGGCATGCGGTCATCGAGTCAACTATACAGTCTGCATCATTAAAGTGTGCTTGTTGAGAATGTAAAGCCATCTGTCCAAAAGTTGAGGCACCATAATTAACCTCCAGCACACTAGCAAAACCACCAAGGAATGGCTCAAAAAGAAGAAATAGAGGGTTATGCACTGCCCTAGTCAATGCCCCGATTTGATGCCCCTTGACATTTTGTAGGAGGATTTTGAAATGGACAGTTAATGAAAGGAAACCCACAAACATCTTGCATGAAACTTTAGTTTGCCCAGTCAGGCAAAAGTAACAGGTACACATAATAGCCCCCCACCCAACAGTTGTTATGCCTGGACGCTGGTGTGAGTGTGTGTGGGGGGGCTTTATCCAAAACACCTACAAAAATTGATTTCTGCTAAAGGGGGCAATAACAGCTTCTGATGCCAAGGGTGGTAATTTGTTTCTTTGCAGGGTGGACTTTTTTCTTATTTTCCACTATACACTATTACATCTATTGATATTGTTATGGAATAAATAATTGAAAAGGCACCTTTCTCTTGTTTTGTTTTTTTATTATTATTCAACTTTATCTGTAGGCACTGCTTAAATAAAGATCTGTTTGCATGTTCAAATATGTTGGAAAAAAATAATTTCCATGGGGTGTACTTACTTTTTCCCATGACTGTATATGTACAAAGTTATACACACAAAGATTTGCGATATTTATATAATTTTTGCTTGACCAAAAAAACTGTATCTAAAAGTCTGCATGCAATAAACGAAATGAGACTGTGTGACCTTAGTACCTTGACCCTACTGTCTAAACATATTTTTTTTAATTAGATCAGATTTGCTGGCATTTCAAATTCCTTGAGAGTGCTCTCTATTCTTTAGCTGTGAGATTACTGTCAAAGAATAGCCTCAGCAGCAGTGACATCTGCTGGTGATAGACTGATGTTATAGGACAAGTAACATGTACAATCATGTATATTGAGATAAATAAGTACAACATGCTCTCATACACCCCCTGCACTTACCGCTATCATCTGCAGTCTTTCCTGCTGACTTTGTGATTCTCTGATCCTGAAGAAAAAATGCAATAAATGTTATTTGAAATACAAGTGCTTAAATATTACAGCCCTTAAAATGGAGAGTCTAAGTCAGCATTTATGTGTTTACATTACAAACAATAGATGTATCTGGTCATATATGAACTCAATAATTAAAAAATCAATTATTGGGGACGGGTCTGTTTTCTCTAGAAAAACCAGAAGAGAATGACTTGTGTATGTAGATGATCAGGTTGCACATGAAAATATACAAAACAAGTGTGCCAATATGAGTTCAATGAGTTGTGCATAAATTGCTAAATAACCTTTCCATGTTTCAATCATGGCAGACATCCATATGGCCATTTTCCCTGTTTTCCAAAGACCTCTGAGGTCCTGAGCCATTCATATCCCCCAGAAAGTGAGCTATTGCGTATGTACTGGAGCCCCTCTACCCTATGAATGATGAGCATTCATCTCTTTGAACAGAGTACGAGCCGGTCACTTCAATGAAGTCACCAGAGAAACTCTATCAGTTAAAGTTAATCTGCCTGCAAAACTTATTAATACAGAAGATACATGATCACTGCTCACAAAACAAAGATTATTGAAGGCAAGAATTGACTGACAATTGTTTCTTTATACCTCTGGACAAAATGAGCAAAGACAAATTGTTCAAGCGTCAGTGATTTATCTGAAATATTACAGTCTTTCCTTTTGGATTGTTTTTATGGTATACATCGTTATTGTAAAGAAAGCTGTAATTTTATGATCAAGATATTAGATATTATTTGGGGTTTTATTTTCTACCATTTCTGCTTTTGTCAACCAAATTCATTTCACAATATGTTTTTTTTAAACTTTCAACAATAACAAATTAACAAACGATAACAATAATATCATTACATTAGCACATTGAAGCAACAGAGTCCATGTTAGGTTCAGGAGTTTCTTCAAGGATGGAACCATAAGTAATATAATGGACAAATATCCATATAGCCCATATCCTTAACATCAGCAGAAAAGACCTGTAATATCTGTGTTTGCATGTCCACACTGTGCATAATGAACCAAGTACTATTCCCATTGCTACTACCACCCTATTCCAGCCCCATACAGACAAAGATCAAATTACCCTAGGCCATCTTTTTCTCATCGTTGAACCCAACAACTATCAATGTAAAGTACTAGAAATAAATAAAGTGAAAGTCAAAAGAGGATAATAAGAGGGAGAAAAAAGGCAAGGAGAAAAGAAGAAAAAGGGTCAGAGATCTCCAGTAACCCAACACCTGTGGAAAGCCATCATGCAGGGGAATTGTATCGAATCCACAGTTGCCAAGTCTGCTCAAATTTTATATATATTATTAAATATATATATATTGTGGCAGTGTAAGCCAATGCCACGGTGTAGGATGGCGACTTTGGCACCCAGGACTCTCAGCCAGAGGGGCTGAGAGGGTCCAGAATGTGAAACACGTTATAAGGAAGAACCTGGCTTTTCAGGTCTGTCCAGGTTTTCCTATTTGTAGCTGGGATCTGGAGCTCAGGAGATTTCGTAGAGCTCTGGGTGGGATGAGATCTCCAGTCCTGGGGCCAGGTTTTGCCATTGACCAGCCTGGGCTAATCAGGTGGCTGAGAGCAGCCTTATCAGGAAGCCAGCCCAGTGCTCAGAGGAGTGTTGGAGTTGTGTGGGTGCAGGAAGCACAAAGCCACAGCAGACTCAGGTGCGTGTGGGACACGTGGAACAGCCAGGGAAGGCTGGGAGAGGTCAGGAAGGTCGGTGACCCTAGGACCACTGGGACACACTGCTGGGAGAGCATAGTGAGGGCTCATGAGGAAAGCCATATAAAGGACTGCTGCAGGCTATTTTGTGTTTGTCCTTTTAATAAACTGCATTCTACTTGATTTACCTGGACTACAGTGGAGTGTCCTTGTTACAATATATTGAGAATGTCAATTAAATTTAGTGTTAAGGTTTACCACAATTATATTAGCACTATTGGTTTCCATCAACACCCCTTCATTTTATAGGTCACAGAAAATTAAATGACGCACCCCCCTACCTGGCAACTACCCTATAGATATCCATGACCACTGACCCATAACTGAAGTTCCAATTTTTTGTCTCTCCAGTGATAGTAAAGCACATAGGTCTCGTGACGGCAAAATATAGCCAGAACATTATACTGCCATCACCATGCTTGACCTTTGGTAGTTGGTTTATTATGGGTGATTTACTAAAGAAGTAAAATGTGGTGAAAATTCACCATGCAAAGAATACCCAATCACATGGAAGGATTTTTGTTTGTACATGATTGGTTAATAGAAGTTAATGCGGCTTAAACTCATTCACTAAGCTAAGTGAAAATTCCCTTGCAATGTGTAAATTCAGGCTTTATTCCTTTAGTAAATCAGCCATTACCTGAAAGGCTGTATGTGATTTCCTCCATCTGTAATGGGGTCCCCGTCTTTAATAACAGTTTGATTTGTTTGCCCACAAAACATTATTCCAGAGGTTTTAAAAGAGATCCCGGTGCTCTCTGGCTAACTGTATATGAGCTTTCACCTTATTTTAGTAGGCAGTAGTTTCCACCATGCTTCTGTGTATCTAATGTCAGCAGGCATACCTTCTGAATTGGTCGAAAATAGATCCGCGGGTGATCCTGACAGCATTACCCCATGTTGTTCTCTTTTAAAATATGTATTTTTTAATAAAACATGGTTTTATTACTTTGCTCTATCTACCTTTCACTCAATAGTTGTAGATCACAAATGTAATACGTAGAAAAAATGTCCAAAGTTGGGCAGCTGCTAAGTATCCTCAGGTTGACCACGTGTGGGTGGCAGCGTTGAGGGCTGTAAAGGTGTGATGGCAATGGTTCCTCAAAAACAGCCTTTGGTTCCTCAAAAACACAGAACTTTCAAACAAAGGCTGTTTTTGAGGAACCATTGCCATCACACCTTTACAGGTCCGCACAAACGTGAAGCAGCACACTGAGGATTTAACCTCCCTGCCCACACCTCCCTTAACCCCCCCCCAGCACCCACCAAGAGCGCTGTGCCACTGGACAACTCTCCTAATTTTTAAGTGAAACAAATACCTGTGGATTTTGCTAGAAATCTTGTGAGCTGATAACTGCATGTCCTCTCTGCCCCAGGATGGGTTATGGAAATGAGGAAAGGGGAGGAAGGTGAGGAGAGGTCTGTGCTCTTTGTAATCCATCAAAAATTAGGTAGGCAGGGCTGATACCATGGGGTTCAATTTATAGACTCGTAAGAGCCATCTACAGTATGTGTATTAGTGCCGTACAAATGGCATCTGCCTGGCATAAAACGTTTATAAATAAATGCCCATGTGCTTAGAAATTCAGAGCTGTGCTGTCAAGCAGGAAGGTGGGAGCACACTATATTTCTGCTATTTTTTCTGTTATTGTCACATGTTTACAGAAATCGAGCATGAGGAATTGTACATGTATTGCAGAGATGTACTAAATATGTCATTGCATATGACATAAGCTTCAACCAAGTTGGCTTGAGAACAGTATTATGTTTGTTAAATGTGTCTTTTCCATTAGTTTACTCTAAGCTTCCTCTGTATCATTTTTTCCTAGCCCAAATCATACTCCATTATCTCTGCACATCTTAACAACCCCTTGCTAATCAGTGTTACTTGTTATCCAGACTATCTGACACATGTCTTCATGCATCCACAAATGTACTTTAATATCCAAATCATCAGCTGATAACCTCTGAATCAAATTGCAATTTTAAAATCAGCCCTTTGCCTGTAATAAAAAAAATGAACCCAATTATACTTAAAGGAGAACTATGAGGTGAGTGCTTTTCACTCACCTCATAGTTCTAGCCGACCTGTGACAATGAGACTGTCACAGGTCGGCTCAGTAGATCGGGAGGTGAGCGAACACATACCGGCGTTCGCTCACCTCTCGATCCTGTCACGGCTCTCTGACGTGAAAGGGGAGGGGCTGGATTCCCCCCTCCTCGCTACGATCCGCCAGCACTGACTGGCGGAACGGACGGAGGAGGGGGCGGGTACAACTGGGCGGAGCTGGGCGGATCCTGGCACAATTGTGTTTGTTGAATTCTGGGTAAAGAGGACAGTTGGAATGTGGCTGATTGCTATGAAAACAAAAAAGAATTGCGCTCCAACAGAAGGCATAAGTAAAAAAAATAATGATCAATTCTTGCTATGGTTGCCATTTTTAGTATTTGTTTTTGAAAAACCTAATGGAGGAAGGCACATACAATGGTGACACAAAAGGCATGGCCTTAATGAAGATGCTTTGCCTAAATAGGGGTGGCTTATACATAATGGGAACAGTACTATAAGAGGTAAAATACGTTGTTCTGGAGTGTTTTTGGTAGAGTGTGGCTGAATCATGTCACAAACTGAAATGCACACAGCAGCCACTCACAGTCCTTCCTATCCTATGTAAAAATATAGTAAGATTGCTATTTCCTATTTTGTTGGTGAAAAATTCTCCTCTGTGCCTTTCACGGGTCCTCTCACCCCTGTACCCTATATGCAGAAGATACTCAGACCTATCAACTCTCTTCTCTGTGGGCAGATTCTTGTTCCACTCACCTGTGCCTGAGTGCAGCTCTTGGCAGTGGTGGACCTAGGGAACAAAGGGCCCTGGTGCAAACCCCCTAATCCACACCCCCTGAAGCAACCACAAAGAATTTAAAGTTGGAAAAATAGAAAAAAAATAGGATTGTTGTATAAAGTACCGCTGAGAATTGTAGTCCTCTGTAGAGGGCGCCGTTCTGCATTGCTGCAATCCAGAATGGCACTTGCTATAGAGCACTGCAAATACCAGCAGTACTTTATACAGCATGTCCATCAGTTGGGCTACAAATAATAATCATTTTATTTAATTACTTACCTTCACCTCTTCTGGCTGGTCTTCAACTGTTTTCTGGTGGGAGAGACTGCAGAGAAACAGCCCAGTGTGTGTCAGAGTCTCAGACAGCGTGCCCGTGTGCTCAGGTGGCTGCTTGCTGGGTCCTCACGGCCCAGGCCCATGGCTGCCCCTTTTAGTGCCTGCAGGCTTTTTTTTATTCTCGGCTCCCTCCTGAGTATCCGGCGGCTGGTGGGCCCCATCATCTCTGTGCCAGATCATCCGATACTTGCGGCGCAGAGATGGGGGGCCCGCCGGTTGCATATACAAATCTGATCATCGGACACTCAAAGCGCAGAGATGAGGGGGCCCGCCCTATACCGATCTGATGGTGGCCAGTGGGGCCCCCATCTATGCCCTGGGGCTGTGTTAGATCTGATACTGGGCTCCCAGGCTCAGGCCCCGGTGCAGCCGCACCGGCTGCAGGTCCGCCCCCGGTTCTTGGGATCTTTTACCCCTCATCTATGTGTTCAACTCCTGTGGCCTCTCACCCCTTTACTCTGCTGCAGCTCCTGGGACCTCTCAGCCTTCTCCTCTGAGCTTAATCTTTAAGGTCTTTCATCCTGCCCTTCTCACTTCATGTCCCCCTCTGTTGATTGACAGCAGCAGTGGGCGGGTGCAATAGCTAGTTTGCTATTGGATATTGCAAAGTGAAATAGCCAATAGGAATCTAGCTATGCATTCCTATGCTGTTTTTTTTTCTTCTGACTGACGGCGGCCCCGATGTCAGAGAAAAAAAGGGAAAGGTTTACTCTGCTCGATCGAGCAGAGTAAACCTTTCCAGGAGAAAATGTTTCTCTCCGATATCTAACAGCGGGAGACTCGCGGAGCCTCCGAGAGAGTTGGGATGTCTGCTCATCCCTATCCTCTGTGTGGCACTCCTAGGACATCTCGCCCTTCTCCTCTATGTTCAGCCCCTGAGGTTACTTACCTCTTTCCCCAGTGTGCAGCTCCTCACACCTTTCACCATCTCCTTTCTATACGAATCCTATTAACTTTTTTTATGGGCAGCTCCTGGGATATCTCACACCTTTTCTATGAGAGCAGCTCCTCAGACCTGTTTGTCCATTCCTCCATGCTTAGCCACTAAGACTTCTCACTTCTCTCCTCTGTTTCCATCTCTTGGGTCCTGTCACCCCTCTCTCCTCTGTAAGCATCCCCTGGAACCCGTCACCCCTCTCCCTGTCTGCAACTCATGGGATCTCTCACCCCTCTGTTTTGTGTGCAGCTCCTGGGACCTCTCATCCCTCTCCCCTGTGTGCATCTCCTGGGACCTCTACCCCTCTCTTTTGTGTGCAGCTCCTGGGACCTCTCACTCCTCTCCTCTGTGTGCATCTCCTGGGACCTCTACCCCCCTCTTTTGTGTGCAGCTCCAGGGACCTCTCATCCCTCTCCTCTGTGCACATCTTCTGGGACCTGTCACCCTTCTCCTCTGTGTGCATCTCCTTGGACCTGTAACTCCTCTGTTTTGTGTGCAGCTACCTCTGTGTGCATCTCCTGGGACCTGCCATCCTTCTATTTTGTGTGCAGCTCCTGGACCTTCCTCCCCCTCCTCTGTGTGCATCTACTGGGAGTTGTCATCCCACTCTTCAGTGTGCAGATCCTGGGACCTCTCATCCGTCTCCTCTGTGTGCATCTCATGGGACTTGTACCACTCTCTTTTGTGTAAACCTCCTTGGACCTCTGACCCCTCTGCTCTATGTGCAGCTCTTCAGACATACTGTATCATCCAAATCCTCTGTGTGCAGATCTTCAGACATCTCACCTCTCAGTGCAGGGTCAATGTTGGTTTTATTTGTGGTGAAAAATTACAACTAAGATTGTTATTAGGGACAACATGGGTAAAATCATGGGGTACTGTGAAACAAGCAGACATAGAAGAAACTGGAGCTTGATCTGAAACCTAGAAAAAGCATCTAGCATGATATGGATTTTCATGTTTGCATATTTATTTCAATCTTATGCCCTCCGCTTACTATAAATTGTCTGCTTTTAGCTCTTACATAAAATTCCCATTGAACAAAAGTTTATTTAAACTATAACTATAACTATATAGAACAAACTGTACTTTAATTTAAAACCATAGGTCTTCTAGGGTACCGTATAGACTTTTCTGTCTTTTGTAAAAACAGGGGTAAGTAAAACTATACATTTTTACAGATTGGAAACACTACAAAAAACAGAGGGGAAATCTGTCAATGGACATTTCTCATAAATGAGCCACAAATCCTACAAGTCAGCTATATGTAAATCATGGTATATGTTGTAAAAATGATTTCTCTTACAACCTTCCATGTATTTCTCCAACCATAGACATTTTTATGTCTTGGTCAAATCTCTGATGACGTAATCTGGTGGGTGCTATTGCGGTCTCGGCTACTGCAGAGAAGTGGTTTCTGCAACTGCTGCCTACTGATTACAACTCAGTGACACATTGCCTATGAAAAGCGTTCCCAACTCTGACACATATTATGAGAGGCATGCATACAAATAATTTTGTATTAATAAAATATTGGTCAGCTTCCACGTTAAACCCAGGAGTCCCGTTGACAGCATAATGGTGAGAGACAGAATGGTGGAATATTACAGTGTAATATTTGACTCCTTTATCTTGGAATGGTAAACCCCTGCAGGTGATGTCAATGACATGTTGGGTTAAAACTGGTTTAACTGGTGCTCTGATGTGTACATACAGAAGGTGGTAATGAAGAGAAGTTATTTGAGGAAAGGATGCTAAAAATATACCATACACAATTTGTGGAATACATCTATCTATCACCTGCGTCATTCACTTTTCACAAACACCCACGAAGCATTGAATTAATAGACTGCAAATAACCACAACACTATCCTCCTCTGCTTTTCCTTGAACATCCATAAGTGGAGCATCACTGGGAGCTATAAAGCTGCACATGGATCTTCTTCTTTCTAGGTTTGACTGATAGAAAAACAGGAAAGAGACATCAATACTGCTAAAGGATAGAAGTGCAGAATCCTGGGGAGTGGAGGACAAACACAACTGTGCTTCTCAATGTAGGTCATGTAATCACAGGGGGTGTCATTGTTCAGTCCAGATTTTTTAAATTTGCTGTCATACTGTATAAGGTAAAAAAAATATATTGCTTAACATTTAGCTACAGCTAATCAACGTTAATTCAGCATAGTGCTGATGACTGTCATAGGGGGTTAAAGCATCAGGCTTGATATGTTTGCTCACGCTGAATGCATGGAAATAACACAGTGAAACCTTGTGCTTCGGGGTCTGCCAGGGTCCATGTGATGTGATCATGGGACACAGCAGGAGGCAGGGCCCAGCAGAATAAAGGAAAGGATAAAGGTGGCCTTTGGAACAAAAATAAAAAACAATGATTTAAAAGAGCTAGGGATTGATGGTGTTAGAAGTTCAGGAACAGCTACAGCAATCAGACTGGATGGAATAGAAAGAGGAGTGGGGAGGAAGAGAGCAGTGGGAAGTGGGGGAAGGGAGATAACAGGCTCCATTATCTACATTCCGTTAAAAGCAAATTCATTGATGTGCAAGGGATGGGCATACACTGTGATTGCCACATGAACCATTTAAAGCTGGACGCACATGAAACATGCAGACTGTTACTGTAGAAGAGCCAGCTTGGATGCAAATTGCATTAGGATGTCAGAAATTAACATTCAGCAGGTGATCAACACATACATTTAACTAGGCATTCCCAACAAACTTTGCAAGAAACCCTTTATGTTTTCTAAATTAAATCTCAATATCACAAAGTATGCAACGTCTTCTTTTCTCCATTAACATAAGACCTAAGAAAACATTTCTACAGACACATCTTAGTAGTGGTGCGGTCTGTTTTTGAACCTATGGTAAATGTATGTTGTAATGCACACATGGTACAGATCATTGGCACGTCTCAGTGTGTAGAAGTTGCCTGATGAAGGCGACCCTGTAAGGCTCCCAAATGGCACATATCTAATGATGTCTAAATTAAGCAAATTAAAAAGTACAGTAAGTCCCATGCATACGAACGGGTTCCATTCCGAGAGCGCGTTCGTAAGACTAAGTCCAACAAAGTTAGCCTAGGTAGCCAGCTACATCATTGCTGCTTTTACGCTCGCTTCTGGACATCCTGTGCTTGAAATATACTGTACTACTGTATTCTATACAGTACTATAAAGTACACAAAGGCACAACCACTTGTTGTGGACGCACACACGTGACAATGTACGCCAGGCATGTGAACTAACTTTTGTGATTGGACATGCGAACGCACGTTTACATGTTTGAAAGTTTGCAACTTGAAGGTTCCTATGTAGGGGGACTTATTGTATAAGTTATGCTAGCAAAGTAAAAGTAT